TACCCGGCCGGATGCGCGGCACCGTCGTGCACTTCGACGAGGAGGCAGGCAGCGCCTCGATCTCGTGTCAGCAGACGCAGGCCACGCCTGGTTCCGATTCGAGCTGCTCCTCCTCCTCCTCCTCCTCCTCCTCGCGATTGCGTGCGTGCGATCAGGATGACGGCGATGGTGATGACGACGATGCTGATGTGAGGCTCCGGTTCAGGTGCTGCCCCATCCGATCCTTTCCAGGCGTCCGAGATGTCGATCTCGACGTGGCCCGATCGGGAGTCCCACGACTGCGCCAGACTACCGCGGTTGGTTTCCACCCTCCTCCCGGCAGGGCCTCCAGGGACCCGTTTAAATTCGCAGGCCTAGAGGTTGACACCAACACCAAGATCGGCGGGGTGCTTCCACCGAGGGAAGAGGATCCCGATCTCGGTGATGGTGGTAATATTCTGGCTTCCAAGGTGACCGAAATATTGCCGCCACCACCACCGAAATCTAGGATCATCTTCCCCATGTGGAAGCAACTTCCTGTGTTGGTGTTGGTGCCAATTTCTAGGCCTCCAACGTTTCCCTGCGGGCGGAGTCCATCCTTTTGGTTCCTCCCCTGCCGGGTCTCGCCGCTGGGCCGCCCGTCTCCCGCCGCGAGGCGCCCCCGAGGAGAGGCGGCGAGGAGCAGGAGCGGGAGCAGTCAGGGGGCGGGGGTGGGAGGGAGGGAGTTACCAGCCTCGAACGTATCCCTATCCCTAAGATTGACACGCCAAAAGGCGATGACAATCTTAGGGATTCGCCCTCAAAAATTACCCTGTGACGTACCCAACCCATTTGTATCAATGGAAACGAGGAGTGGGCCGAAACTTGTATGGACAATCAACTTGATGTGTAAGCTACTTGGGAGGCGTCACTGTGCTGGGTCCCGCAAGCAGGCCTCGAAAGTGGCGACAGTTTCACAGATCGCAGCCCCCCAGGGATGGCGAGGTTTAATTTGAATCTGCGTGTGGCGTCACTGTGCTGGGAGCCCCAGCAGGCCGCGAAAGTGGCGACAGTTTCACAGATCGCAGCCCCCCAGGGATGGCGAGGTCACATTTGAGTCCGCCGTGAGTACCCACTGTGCTGGGCCCCCCAGCAGGCCTCGAAAGCGGCGACAGTTTCACAGATCGCAGCCCCCCAGGGATGGCGAGGTCTAATTTGAGTCCGCCGTGGGTACCCGCTGTGCTGGGCCCCCCAGCAGGCCTCGAAAGTGGCGACAGTTTCACAGATCGCAGCCCCCCAGGGATGGCGAGGTCCCATTTGAGTCCGCCGTGGGTACCCACTGTGCTGGGCCCCCCAGCAGGCCTCGAAAGTGGCGACAGTTTCACAGATCGCAGCCCCCCAGGGATGGCGAGGTCCCATTTGTCCGCCGTGGGTACCCACTGTGCTGGGCCCCCCAGCAGGCCTCGAAAGTGGCGACAGTTTCACAGATCGCAGCCCCCCAGGGATGGCGAGATCCAATTGAAGTCCGCCGTGTGTACCCACTGTGCTGGGCCCCCCAGCATGCTTCGAACGTGGCGACAGTTTCGCAGTTGGCAGCCCCCCAGGGATGGCGAGGTCCCATTTTGAGTCCGCCGTGTGTACCCACTGTGCTGGGCCCCCCAGCAGCCCTCGAAAGTGGCGACAGTTTCACAGATCGCAGCCCCTCAGGGATGGCGAGGTCCAATTTGAGTCCGCCGTGTGTACCCTCTGTGCTGGGCCACCCAGCAGCCCTCGAAAGTGGCGACAGTTTCACAGATCGCAGCCCCCAGCTGGCTCGCAGCGACGAGCGAGGCAAAAGGCAAGGGGGAAGACAGGGGCGGGAAGGAAGGAAGGAAGAAAGGAGACGCGCGAGCAGTGCTCTATTCAAAACGAGAACCCAACGCAGGAGGGTTGGGAATAAGGGAATCCCTAAGATTGGCATCGTGATGAGGAGGTGCCCAGCATAGGGATAGGGATATGTTCCCGGCTGGTAAGGGATGGGGAGGCGCGAGGACCGAGCAGGGAGCAGGAGCGCCACGCGCCCACGCGTGCAGGCACGCCGAGAGCGGGGAGGGGGAGGCCAGGAGCGAGCGGGACGAGGAGGCGCGGAGGGGGAGGACGCGGAGGAGTGGGGAGGACGGTGGAGCGAGCGGAGGAGGAGGGAAGAGGACGGGGGGGAGAGTCGTTAGGAGATCGCAAGCGTGGATCAAGGGGGCGCGGATCAGCGACGGGTCCCGTCTCCCGGGGAAATCGCGGGTTTCCGATGATGGAGGAGGAGGGGAAGAGGAGCCTCCTGTTTCTGTTCCCTCCGCCTCACATGCTCTCCCTCGTTCTCGTGTTTCCCTACTCTACCTGCTCAGACTCCTCCTCACCTGTCGCCTTCTCCTCGTCATTCATGCCTCGCCTCCTCCCCTGATTGTCCAAGTATCCTCTTCTTCCTCCTCCTTCTCCTTCTCTTGCGTATTCTCCCCACTCCGCCTCCCCAACCTGCGCACGAGGGTGCAACAGCATTGTTTCCAGTGCCCTGCCCGAGGCGTGGCGTTTGTCTCGATTCCAGTCCGAGGGGCGCGAGGTTCCGATCCCCTAGCTCGATCTTTCGCGGGTCGCTTTCCGCCTTCCTGCTCCGAGGGAGGAGGGGCGCCTTGCACTGCAGGCGCTGTTCCAGAAGCACGTCCACGCGGAGTGGCGGGAGCCCGGCGGGAGAAGCAAAGCACAGCGGCGCCGAGCCGCCAAGGCGGGCCCTCAGGGGGGATCGCGTGCTTGCCTTCAGTGGAGCATATCCCTCCACAGGAGGAAGGTTCAAACATATGCTTTTGGTAATTTTTGATTAGTTTTTTACTATTTCGATTTTTCTTCGAATTCGCCTGCAGGAAGGCGGAGGGGAGGAGGACGGGGAGGGGGAGGAAGAGGGGGAGGAGGAGGGGGAGGAGGCGGAGGAGGAGGAGGCGGAGGAGGCGGAGGAGGCGGAGGAGTAGGAGGAGGAGGAGCTCCCTGGCGTCGTGGCTGTCGTCCCGCTGAAGCTCCTCGGCCCTGCGTCGCCCCGGGCCGGGGCACCAGGCCCCGGCCCCGGGCACGGCCTCTACAGGAGGAAGATTCCAATTTTTTGTTTTAAACAGTCTGGAGAAGATCTTTCGACTATGTTTGAGTATGTGTGAGCATTGTTTGACTTGTTGACTTGTTTTACTTTTCTTCCACAGCCCGCTGGTGGGAGGACATGCCCGACCCGAGGCTGAGGTTTCGTCCCTCGCGGGGGGGCGCCCGGGCCGAAATGGCTGCCGACGACGGGCATGCAAGATGGCATAGTAGGCATGCCAAGCGAGAAGCAAACCTGCCAGCGCGGGCCCCACGGAGGTGCCTCGTCCCCCAGTGGGCCCTGCAGGGCCCACGTGGGACACGGGGCCCCTCCGGAAGCCGAGGGATCGGCGGCACGTGTGCCCTCAGATCTCTTCGCGAGGTGCCTGTCTGCGGACCTGCTTCGGCGGCGAGCGAGGGGGGGCTCAGAAGGCCTTCCCCTTCCTCCCCCTCGCTCTCCTCATCACACCTCCTCCTCCTCCTCCTCCTCCTCCTCCTCCTCCTCCTCCTCCTCCTCCTCCTCCTCCTCCTGCTTCTCCTCCTCCTCCTCCTCCCCCTGCTCCCCCACCTCCCTTTCTTCCCCCTCGTCTCCCCCCTCTCCCCTCCATCTCTGTTCGGCGGGACTTCTCAGGAGCCCTCGCGCCCTCTGAGAAGTGCTTGTTGGCCTTCGGGGAAGGCGCAGAAAACTTCTGCGGAGGCCGGGGGACTTCCGGGCCTTCTGAGGAGGCCTTCTTCTTCTCGTTTCCCCTCCTCGCTCGCCGCCGACTCCTGTCTGGGAGGACTGCCCAGCAAAAAACATCGCCCCCCCCCCTCACCCCAGGAGCTCGAGCAGGCGGGGGCCTCCGACATCGGCGCCGCGGTGTCCTTCCGCGTGGAGGTCTGCGGAGCGGGGGGGCAGCCCCGGGCTCGCGAGGTGCGGCTGCTGGAGGCGCGCGTCGCCGCCCTCCGTTTCTCGGCCGCAGCTCGCTCCTGCTGCCTCCGCCGACCCGCGATTTTTCGGTGTCGGCTTCCGGTGATCGGCGCCGACGTCCGTCGCCGACGTTTCCCGTCGCCGTGCGACGTCGATGCTCGGCGGCGGCGTGCGGCGGCTTGTCTGGGTGCTGCTGCAGTCCTCAGGGCTGAATGCGGGGTGGTCGGGGGTTCTCGGACACTACTGGAGGTCCTCGGAGTCTCTTGGAGATTCTCGGAGGTCGTCGTCGTTGTCGTCGATGACCTCATTCGTCGCCGTCGTTGTCTTCGGTAACCTCGTTTGTCGCCGTCGTCGTCGTCGTCGTCGTCATCGTCGTCGTCAGATGAACGATAGAAGGATCGAGGGCAGTTTTTTCCAACTTACTGGGAGCCTCCAGGGGGCCTCTTGTCGCGTCCAGGGGTCGTCGTCGATCTTGCGGTCGTCGCCGCCAGCCGTCGTCCCAAGACTTCATCGTCGTCGCTGCGTTGCCGCTGTCGCCGTCGCCTTCGTTCGTGCCGTCGTCGTCCTCGTCGTCGGTCGTTGGCGTCCTGCACCCTCGTGCGTCGTCGTCGCCGTCGTTTTTGTATCGTCGTCGTCGCCCTCGTGGTCCGCCGTCGTCGTCGTCCGGCCGTCGCCGCCGACATGGCCGTGGTCATCTTCGTCGGTGCTTGACGCAGCCCCAGACCCCCGACGTCGTGATTTCCAACGTCGACCCCCAGTTGTCTGGACCCCTCCCCACGGACCGGTTTTCCATCCCGAGTCGCTCTGTGACGGCCTCGAGGCCCGGGAAGGACCCCCGAAAGGCCGCGCATCGCGCAGAGCCTGCCGCCGGAGATTTTATTTTCCCAACCCGAGGGGGCCTGTCGCCGCCGCCGCCGCCGCCCCCGCCGCCGCCGAGGAGGCGCCCGCCGATCTCCAGGAGCAGCCCGAGGGTGCCGACTGCGAGGGCGACGGCGCCGGTGGCGCCCGGCCTGCGGCCGGGGAGGGGGCCGAGGACGACCGGCACCCTCTCGTCACCGAGCGCGTGCCACTGCTCGCAGGGTGCCTACTCGCAGACGCTCGAAGAACACATGCCTGCTCGGGTGTGAGTTCTCGCAGGTCCCCCGCGGCGGATCCAGGCCATTTGCGAGCAGCTACTCTGCGAGTAACGGGACGCGCCTGTCCAAGAGAGCAGGTTTTTCTTAGAGGTTCGGGCAAGTTTCTTGCATGGCGTTCGTTCCCCCCCCCCCCCCCCCCCCCCCCCCCCTCTCCCCTCGCCTGAAGTCGGGCTTGTCCCTCTACAGGAGGAATATGCAAAAATAGTCAAAAACATCAGGGGACTGTTTGAGCATTTTGTGACAATTTTGGGGGTATTTGTTTACTATGTTTCGTTTTTCTTCCAAAATCCCCCTGTAGGAGGACAGGCCCGACTTAACCCTCGCCCCCCTTCAGGCGAACGCTGGCTTGCAGGTGTCTTCCGACCCCCGCAAGTGCACGTCGATTGCGGCTTACTTCAGGTGCAACACCCCCCTTATCCATGCAAGTAAATTTACCGGAGTCTAAAACAACAGGTTCAACAATCGTCGAAGGTCGTTGAAGAACGGTCAATTCAAAAAAACATCGGAGGTTGTCTGCTCTGGGGGGGGGGGGGGCATCTCGGCGATCCGAAACGGGGGAAGAGAGCAGTGGCCGCTGGCCTTCTCAGAGGCGTTGGGGCTTCGGAATTATCTGTTCTATGTTTGTTTTACAACAACAACAACAACAACAACAACAACAACAACAATCATTTTACCCGAACGCTCAGTGTTCTCCCCAGTGCCAGGGTTTTCTTGCGACACCAGCCAATACCCCCACTTCGTGGGGGAGCCGTTCAAGCTCTACCAAATATCCAAACGACTCTTCGAGACCACCCACACCCAGCTTCCCGCCCTATGACGTTGGGACACTTCACTTCGTGGCGTGCGGACGACCCTGGCTACTACACTGGCGTGGGGTACACACCCACAGAGGTTGATCACATCTGTTACATATGATGTGGTACACGGTACACGTGAGATGGTACGCAGTGCCAAGATAGTTGGTCACATTTTTGGGGCAAATTCGTGGGGATGCGATTACAGAAGTACATGTGTTACACTGATGTTATACAGTCCCAAGGATGACGCATGCATTGCTCATAGACTCATGGCGCTATGATCCTAACTCTCAGTGCCCAACGCGCGCGTGCACAGCCAGACGGAGGGAGAGAAACACATGTATACAAGGTTCGTGACATACGCACGGTCCACCATGTTGTAAACGATCGCATGCACGGTAAGTTCTGAAATTATACGTATGTACAAGCAGACATGCGAGGGAGAAAGGGAGATGGCCATCGACAGTTCCAATACGGCTCCAAGGCGGAAGAGGGGGAGGAGGAGCAGGACAAGGAGGAAAGGAGAGAAGCGAGAAAGGAAGAACGCAGACGGCGCGGCTCTGGACACAAAGGGGTGCCATACTTTCTCCTGCTTTCGCAAACAGGTCCAGTCACACGTAGGGGTATACTCAACCGAATGGTCTTCGCATCCAGAAGCATACTAAAGGCGCGACGCATCGTCGTCTGCGATGGCGCGGAGCGGGCGCGTGGGTGCCCGGCTGCCTGGCTGATACACGTGCGGGCCTGGCTGATACCCGTGCGGTCCCAGATGCCCAATGAGATTGCCGATACGCCTGCTGGCGGGAAGGCCGGTGTTTGCATACGGCAGTGCTACCGCGAGCACGTTGTGGACCTGCGGTGGCAAGGCCTGGTAATCGAGCATGTTCGGAAGCTCGTCGCTCTGACCATACGACCGCCATACGGGCAACCACCACCACTGGTCTTGACGCGGATACGTGATCTCTGTGCCGACCTCAGGGGATACGTTCCAAAGGGCCATTTTCTGCGGGTCCGTACCCATGAAGGCCGCGTGGTACGCAATGAATACGTCCAAGGTGGCCAGGGCCCTGTAGGAGAGGCCGGATACGATCTCCGCATGAATGGGAATAGCGAGCTGACCGAGCAAATACCGCATACTGCGATACACCCACTGGCCCGGGTGGACGAAGAGGTTGGCTTTCCAGGCGACGATACCTGCTGCGGTGCACAGCGTGTCGAATACGTGCACAAGGTAGCCAATGGGCTTCCCAAGCCTCTCATCCTGGAATACCGAGAAGTTCCCGAATACCGCGTTCGCGTAAAAGTACGCGTCGAAGTACAGCCATTCGGGCTCGGCGATGCCCCCCATACTGTGCTGGTACTCCGGGTCGTTGTTGATCTTCGACTGCCCCGTGGACATACCGCTCGATACGGCGAGGCACACGCCCGTAACACCCTCCCATAGAAGAGGGAAGAAGATACCGCACGCGCACCACCTTGCCCGGAGCGCCTGATGCAAATAATACGCACTCTCGCAGTCGGCCAAGGGAGGCCGCGACAGCTCAGGGCCATACTGCTCGTGAAGGTCTTTCGCCGTCAAAGCCATGATCCAAGAACACAGGCGATACCTTGATCCGAGATGGCTACGGATATGTGCGTCAGCAGTCGGGGGCCTTCCTGGGGCCGCTTGGGGTCCTCTTGGGGAAGGGGGGAAGCCTCCTGGCGCGGTTTGGGGTCCACTTGAGAGCCTTTGGGGGGCTCCTTGGAACCATCTTGGGGCCTCTTGGGGGCTTATTGGACCCTCACGGCGGACTCTTGGGGCCTCTAGAACGCCTCCTGGGGCCATCTTGGGGGTCTCTTGGAGCCACCTTGGAGCCTCTCTGGAACCTCTTGGGGGCCTCTTGGAGTCCTCTTGAAGCCTCTTGGGACCATCTTGGGCGCCTCTTTGGGCCTCATGGACGCCTCTTGGGGCCATCTTGCGCGCCTGTTGGGGCCATCTTGGGTTTTAAAGATTCATCAAGAGACCGCGAATGGATTTCGAGATTTTTCGGATGAGAAAGTAGTGCGTTTTCATATGTTTTCTGAACATCGCATCTTGAAATTATTGAAAACCCATTGTGTTTGGCAGGATTTCGACATGCGCGCGCGGCGGCCGCGCGCATGTGCACTTCGTCTCATTTTTTGCAAGGGATGGTGGCCCTCGCAGGCGCGCAACCGTTGTTGGAGAAGTTCAAAGCACCTGAAGAAGTAGCACGCAAAGACCCTTTTGACAGAAATGTTTAAAAAGTGGTGTGTTTCCTATGAATCCGCAAGAGCGCGCGGAAGGACATTTTGACAATTTTTTCTTAAAAAACCATTGGGTTTTTGATGTTTTTATGTTAAAATCGCTACGAAACCTAAGGTTTTGGAAGGATTTCGTCTTGCGAGCGCGAATGTCCACTTTACCTTATTTTTTGCAAGGGATTCTTGAAATTTGATCAACTAAGAACAAGAATTTTCATTTTCTATTGTTTTTTGCAAGGGAAAACGAGCGTCAACAAAAAACCGGATCCGGGGGTAATCCACTTTTCTGAAGCTTTCGCAGAAAAATGATGAAAATGTAGCTGCGGCCTAGGTTTTGGGCGGGGGGCGTGCACCAGGGGGTCCAACAATAATAATTCTTTAGAAGTAATAGTGTTCAACAACAACAACAACATTAACAACAACAACAACAACAACAACAACACCAACAACAACAGCATCAACAGCAACAGCAACAACAACAGCAACAGCAACAACAACAACAACAGCAACAGCAACAACAACAACAACACCAACAACAATGACAACAAACACATACAACATAGAACATAGAACAGATGGAGGTCGCCGGGGCCTCCTGGAAGCCCTTCCTCCCGAGAAGCCTTCTGCGCCACAGGGTGCTCCTCCGACGGCCGGGCCGCTGCGGAGAGGGCCCGCGCGGCCTTCCGAGGAGGAGGCTGGGCCCCTCTCTCCCAGGGAGCAGCGCCGGGGGCAGGGGCAGGCTCCGGGGGGGGGAGGGAGCGCGTCGACCCCAAAGCACAGGTGGGGGCCCCTGCCAAGACTTGGCATCGCTCGGACGTGTGCATGTTTTTCTCGGCGAGAACCATCGAGGACCATCCTAGACCATCGAGCAACAAAAACACGCCTGAAATCGAAACATGCACGGGAAATGGACGTCCGAGCGACGGCAATCTGGGTTTCTTTGGTTTCGGTGGCTTTGCGAGGGAGGGCGTGTGGCGCTTCCGCACCAAAAAGCGGTCGACGTCCTGGGGTCTCGGGGCTGGGCTTCATGTGGAAGGTCTCTTGTGGACTGGCCTCCACTGTAGCCTTTTCTCCACCGCCTGGCCCCGCGCGCCAGGAGCGTCGAAGCCCCCCCCCTCGGATGATTAGCAGTTCCAAGGGGGTGGAGGCCTGGGAGGCGGGCCAGGCCCTCGGCGGCCTGAAGAGGCGGACGGGGAAGGAGGAGGAGGAGTAGGAGGAGGAGGAGGAGGAGGAGGAGGAGGAGGAGGAGGAGGGAGTTCTCGAATTTTGGTTGGAGGTTCCTCGGGTTCTTGGGGGCCCCCTGCTCCTTTCCCTCCGCTGCGCCTCGTCGAGGGCCTCCCGAGGAGCCCAGGAGCGCCCCGAGCGGCCACGTGAGGCCCGAGACGTGGCTCCGAAGCTTGTCGGAGGAGGGGCGAGAAGAGGGATCTAGCAAGAGAGAGGCGGAGGAGGACGCGGGTGCAGGCCGACAGGGACGGAACGCCGAAAAATGCGAAGGCATGAGATTTTCGGGCTGGCAGAACGACTTGTCGCGGGATTGACGTGTGGTGGTGCTGCCGACGGTAGGTACACGGGCCAGATCAAGTCCTTCCACGAAGGCATCGGCGTGGGGTTCATCTCCTGCAGAGCGCTGCGCGCCACCTTCGGGCGGGACGTAGCCCTGAACCAGGAGGACCGCGCCGGCTTCGGCGTCGGCGACGCGGTCCCCAGACATCCGACGACGGGATGTTTTTCAATCCGTGGCCCCAGAGCTCCCGACCCCTTCCTCGCGCTTCCTCCTCCTGCTCCTCCTCTACCCTAATGTGTTATGTGTCTCGCAGTGCATGTGTCCAGTCACGCCAGAATCCAGAGGGGACGCCCTCCCCCACCTGGTCTGAGCTAGGCCTGGACACTTGTCCGCAGCGGTGGCCGTTTGTTCGTTCGGGGGTAGTCTTGCGTCCCAGATCCATTTCTTGTTGGTCCTAGGGTCCCACAACTGGGCCCCAGAGGCGGAAATGGAGGAGAGATGCCTGGATTGCACTGCACAGCTATACCGTCGCAGATCTGGGTTCCAGACCTTCCAGGTGAGGCCCGAGCACATGGGGTCGGAGCATCGCGCCGCATCGCCAATGCATCGGCGATGTGGCTCGATGTGGAATCAGATGTTCACCATGCCGACGTCGCCGATGCATCGCCGATCCATCGGCGATGCGGCGCGGTCCTCCAGCCTCATCTGCTTGGGCCCCATCTGAGCGAGGTAAAAATCTGGGGTCGTCTGCGCCGACATGGGCGCACAAGCTGCCCGCGTAGGGTCGCGCGTGAGCGTCCTCGTCTCCAGTGCAGCGGGCCGCGCTCGCAGCCCGCGGAAGCCGCCGCGTAAGGTCGCTGTGTCATCTCGCGTAAGACCCTCCTCTTGCTCCCGCTCCTCCTCCTGCTCCTCCTCCTCCTCCTCCTGCTCCCCTCCTCTTCTTCCTCCTCCACCTCCTCTTCCTCCTCCTCCTGCTCCTCCTTCTCCTGCTGCTCCTCCTCCTCCTCGTAAGAGGTCTCCTTCGCGCTCGACGTGGACGACGTCGGCACCCCGAAGGCGACGCGGCTCCGGGCGGCGGGCGCTTCGGTGCCCGCGGCGGCGTCGGCGCCGACGAAGCGGCCCGCGCCGCAGCCACCCGCGGCAGCGGGCGCGCTGCCGCCCAAGCGGAAGAGCGACGCGGTGGCGGTGCCGTCGGGGAAGCGGCATAAGGCCCTGCACACCGACGACGACGAGGACGAGGACGAGGACGAGGACGACGAGTCACGCGGTGGCGGTTCCGACGGGGAAGCGGCATAAGGCCTTGCACCGAAGAGTAAAAGCGCCACGTGCATAATTTCCTGGCGCTCCGCGCCAAAAGTTTACGGATATGTCTTCCTAATCCCAGGACGGACGGGCGTTGCCGGGCTCGGTGTATGTGGCGGCCTCAGACAATCGAAGAAGAAGCATCGCCATAAAAACATGAAAACCTTTGGCGCGCCGCGCGGGTTTTTTTCGTGGATCCGCGCTGGGCCCCCCCCCCCCCCCCCCAGCAGCGCCTCCGGCGCCGCCCCTGGCGCGCTCCGCGCGCCAGGGAGGGGGGTCAGGCGCAGAGCCAAGACACCCGCGCGCGCGGAGCGCCGAGAGTTGATGTTGATGGAGGCTACCTTCTCCTGCTGCGGGAGGCGGGGGTGCACCACCAGCGCGGCAGCGGAAGGCCCACTTCCGGGGCCGGGCCTCTCGCAGGCCCTCTCGGCGATTCCGCGGGGCCCCGGCCACGGCCTCCCGAGGCCGACGATGAGAAAAGCACAGAAAGAGCATGCGGCGGCGTGAGGTTCGGAAGCGCAAGGGTCCTGGGGATTTCGGATGCAACTCCTGGCGTTAGATTCTTTTACGCTTCGCGTGCAGTGGAAGCGTGGAAGCCCATGCCGAGAAAGACCCTGCCTGCCTCCAGGGTGCCCTGGGTTTCTTGGGTTTCGATGGTTTTGCGGTGGAGAGTGCGACGCTTCCACGCCAAAAGTCATTGGACGTCCTGGGGTCTCAGCGTCGGGTTTCTTGTGGAAGGTTTCTTGTGGACTGGCCTCCACTGCACGGCGTCGTGTTTTCCCGAAGCGCAAGGGGTCTGGGGATTTCGGATGCAACTCTTGGGAGGTTAGTTTCTTGACGCCTCGCGTATCCCCATCAGCTGGCCACAGCTTGCGTGTCTCTCGGTCGCTTCTGCTTGAGCATGGCAGACGCCCTGGGACCTCTTGGTACGCCATTCCCGCGCCGAGGTTGGCAGACTCCCTACTGTTCAGATAGTGTCTCAAGCGGCCCACTGCTTGGCTATGGCCTCTGACACTTTGGGGGTATTTGCATCGCGCCACTTTGGCTGCGTAATTACTGCTCCCTGGGTGCTGGTCCCTGGTCGTCAGACTCCCTGGGTTGCAGCACCCTTGCACCCGCCGCCCCGGCGCCGGCCGCGGCCCGCGCGCGCGTCCGGCCAATTAATTTCGGCCGCAGCCCGACCGTTTTTCGCCGCCGCTGGCGCTTCCGCCCGCGGCTGTGAAAAAAAAAGTATCCCCATCAGCCCATTCATCGGGACGATGGAAGTAGGTACGGAAAGAATGGGTACGATGCCAAACAGCAGATCCTGTTCATTTTGAGCAGGACTCGCTGTCCGCGCCGCCGCAGACGCTGTTCATTGAAGACGAGGAGCGCCCTGCCCAACAGCGGCCGCTGCCGGTGTTGGACAACAGTTGTTGTTGGGCATTGCACCTCTGTTTCCGTACCCATTCGGGTGTCCAAAATTCTGAAGTGTTGCCCATGGGAGTTTGCGAGAAAAGGAACGAAGAGACACATGTAGTGAAGCTAAGCGGGCAGCCAGGGTGAACAGAGAGCCTTGGAGGGCCTCTTCGGGCCATCCTTAGGGCCCGCGTGGGGGCGAGGGAAGGAGGATGAGGAGGAGGAGGAGGAAGACGACAACGACCACGACGACGACCACGACGACGAGGAAGAGGAAACGGAAAAGGAGGACGATGAGGGCAAGGACGAGGACGAGGAGGAGGAGGAGGACAGCGAGGACGAGGACAGAGCCCTCAAAATCGCCACTTGGAACCATCTTGGGACTCTTTTGGGGGATCTTGGGGTCCTCTTGGGGCTCGTTTGGGGGTCTTCTTAGGGCCTTCTTGGGGCCCTCTTGGAGCCCTTTTTGGGGGGGTCCCTGGGAACCCTGGAGGGCCTCTTGGGACCATCTTCGAGGCCATCGATCTGAGTGGGGGGTCCCAACAGTGCCCCCCCCTCCTCCCCCCCTGGGGCCATCAAAATCGCCTCATGGGGTGCTCTGGGGCCCCTCTTGGGCCGCTCTTGGGCGGTCCTGGGGCCGTCTTGGGGCCCGTTTAGGCCCCTCTTGGGCCTCTCTTGGGCCATCTTAGGGCCATCTTAAGGCCTCAAGAGCGCATCGGAAGCGAAACGGCGAGAAGGCGCACATCACTGATGGTCCTTAACGCTGTTGTGAAAGACGTTTTTGGAAGAGGAAAGAGAGAGAATTCTTCAGACCACCTTAGCCCAAAAGGTTGGTGGAATTCAGCATCGGCGTTGGTATATCCTTGGTCGCAAAGTAGCCAACTCCGGCACAATCTCGTTTCATCCAGCTTCACTCCGCCTCATCATCCGCCTAATTAGCCGCCTTCATCCTGGGCTGAATCCGGCTCAACGGGCTTACTATGATCAATGGCCCCTTGATCGGGAGAAGTATCCTTTATTCCCTACCTAGGCTCTGCCTAGAAGGGTTCTTACTCTATGGGCTTAAAGGGCCGGGCAGCGGGGCTCGCCCCGGGCGGTTCCCCCAGGATCCGCCCCGCGGTTCCCCCAGTTGCGCCCCCTGGGTTCACCCAGCTTAGCTTAGCTTAGCTTAGCTTAGCTTAGCTTATCTCACCTTAGCTTAGCTTAGCTTAGCTTTGTCTAGCCCAGCTTAGTTTAGCTTAGCTTAGCTTAGCTTATCTCATCTTTGCTTAGCTTAGCTTAGCATAGCTTAGCTGAGCTTAGCTTAGCGGAGCTTAGCTTAGCCTAGCCTAGCTGAGCTTAGCTTAGCTTAGCATAGCTTAGCGCAGCTTGGCGCAGCGCAGCATAGCGCAGCGTAGCATTATCACAGCATAGCATAGCATAGCATAGCATATCATAGCCAAGCATAGCATAACCTAGCATAGCATAGCATAGCTCAGCATAGCATAGCATAGCATAGCATAGCGCAGCATCGCATAGCATAGCATCGCATAGCATAGAATTGCTTAGCATCGCACAGCGCAGCATAGCATAGCAACAACAAAAGCAACAGCAAACGCAAAAGCAAAGGCAAAGGCAAAGGCAAACTCAAAGGCAAGAACAGCAGCAAAGACAATGCACAGCAAAAGCAAAACCAATGCGACAGTGTAGATGTAGATGTAGGTGTAGGTGTAGATGTGGATGTAGGTGTAGATGTAGATGTAGATGTAGATGTATATATGAGTCTCGCTGTTGATGTTGATGTAGATGTAGATGTAGATGCAGGTGTAGATGTAACTGTAGCTGTCGGTGTAGATGTAGATGTTGCTGCCCTAGATGCTCCAACTCCTAGGTAGGGTCGCACTTGGATAATAACAATTCTTGCGAAGACCCCCCCAGGAGTTGCTTCCTGCAGTCAACCCGCATCACAAGGATGGGCAACCTGCCCAAGGGTACCCTGGCATCCTTGCCCCTTCGGCCCATCCTTCGCCACTTCCGTTGGTCGCGCCCCGCTCGAAAAGCTTCAAAAGGGGGCATCCAGGGCCCCTGCATCCTTATCGCGCATCCTGCTGATACGGGCCGGCTCTCGGGGGATCTGGCCCAGAGCGGGCCCGAGCGGCTGGCCCCTCGTGGTGCTGCTCGCCCTTTTGCCTTCTGCGCGCGGAGGGCTTCGTGCGGTCCTTCGACGAGGCGCTGGGCGTCGGCAGGCTCGCCCGCTCCCTCGCGGGGGGCGGCCCCGAGCTGCCCGTCAGCGCGGCCGAGCTCGCCGGCTTCGCGGTGGGGGACTGCGTGTCGTTCGCGTTCGGCGCCGACCCCGCGGGGCGGAAGCAGGCGGTGGACCTGGAGGCGGAGGAGGCTCCAGACCTCCTCGCGTCGTGGCGAAAGTCGGGCCGCGGCGGGCTTTGGGGGGCTCTTTTCGGCCTCGTCGGGGCAGAAGCCGGGCCCCGGGGCAGAAGGCGACGGAGCCGGTCCAGTCTCCAGACCTCTGTGGGTCCACGTGACAGGCAGGCTGAGGATCGGGGCGAATCGCTCCAGTGCGGTCTGGAGCGCTCTTGAACGGCAGCGGCGCCCGATACCAGAATTGCCGCCGGAGGATCGATCTTCGGGGGCATCGGCTGGCTGAGAACATATATATATATACATATACGCACGCATATGTAGATCTATACATGCACACATGTATACACATATGTTAGCCACTGTGGCCCCCAAACAGAGTGTTTTGGGCAGTCGATGCTGTGCAGCCTATGTTGGGCAATCTACGTGGGGACAACGTGCGTGGTGCAATCCATGTGGTGCAATCGGTTCACATGCCGAACTTGAAGTTGTGAACTCCACTGCTGGCGCAGTCATCCTACCCGCCCACCCGCAACTTGGTTTGCAGAGCGCATGCGGCAGCGATTGCGGTGAGTGCTGGGTGTTGGATGGTGCATCTCTTCGGCCGCGCTGACCCGTGCACGTTCGCGCGCGCAGCGGCCAGCTAGTTCGGCGCGACCGACGCGAACGCGGTGGCGCTGACCGCTCGGCACATCCCAGCGGGCACTTTAGTGGGAGTCGGCGACTTGGGCGGGTGCGGTATCATGGCAACGTCGACAACGGTAGACACGATGATGATAGTAGCGATGATGGTGACGATGTTGACAACGACGACGGGGCAGCCATTGACGGTGCCGATGCCGATCACACGCGACGATGACGGCATCTTCGCGTGGATGATGCAGGTTTTGAAAGGAATTCGAAATGCGCGCGCGGCAAACGCGCGAGAGTGGCTCGCATAGTTTTTTTGATACGGATCGCCAAGGGCGTCCGAACGATATCGACATGTGCGCACGAAGCCCGCTTGGTAGCATTTTATGAAAAAAAAATGAAACGATTGTTTTCTTAAGAATTCGCAAGAGCGCGAGCGCACGCTGTTCTTAAACATCCGTGCCCCGAAACCTTTTTTAGAAGAAACTTGTTGTTTTACACTCGATTTTGAAACCCGTCCAAAACCGAGAATTTCGGAAGAATTTCGGCATGCGCGCGCGACGGCGCGCGCGTGCGGACTTCGTCCTGGTTTCCGGCGAGGGATTATTGAAAACTTTTGTTTTTTGATAAAACGAGTGCGCGCGCATAGTATTTGTTGCAAAGGATGGCAAGCGGGAGCGATACCGGCCAAGCTGGGATATAATGAGTCCACAGAGAGCATGGACATTGGGTCAGAATCATCTGTGTTCCGCATCGGCTCCCACTGAATCAAAATAGAACCGGTTTCCTTGTTTGGAAAGGAGAACCTATGTTGTGCAAGCTACGCGGTGCATTCTATGTGGTGCAATTCGCCATGCCGAAGTCAAGGTGGTCAACTCCATTGCTCGCGCAATCGTCCCAACCACCCACCCGCAACTTGGTTTACAAAACCCATGTGGCGGCGATTGCGATGACTCCTCGGCACTGCTGGCGCATCCTTGCGGCCGCGCTAGCACGCGCACGCTCCCGCGCAGAGCGGCCAGCTAATGTGGCGCGACCGACGCGGCCGCGGTGGCCTGATCGCTGGGCACTCCCCTTCGCGTCTCGCAGGCCGCGCTGACGCGCGGACACTTCAGTGAGGGGCGGTGGCTCGAGCGGGCGGGGGATCATGGCGGCGTGGACAACGGCAGAAGCGATGATGAGAGTTAACGACGGCAAGACCAATGATGGCGCCGATGCTGATCACGCCGGTGGTGATGATAGTGTCCACGCGGCGGGGGCGAAAGTTTTGGAAAGATTTCGACATGTGCGCGTTTTCGACGTGTGCGAGTGTCCCGCAGGGTGTCGTTTGACAGGGATTGGGCCCCCCCCATCATCTGCGCAAGGGCCTCCCAATGTTTCCGACGGGCGCGCGCGATAGGCCCGCTGAGTTGAATCTGGCAATGTTGACCACAAAACATAAGTGGTTTTGATTCGAATTCGCAAGAGCTCCTGCGCAGACTTCTTTTGGGCAAAGCACGTTGCAAACCTTTTTAAATAAAAAACCGCGTTCAGGGGCTTCGATCTTGAATTCGAATTTCTTCCGAACTTACGGTGTTTGAAGGTTTCCGGCTTGCGTGCGTGACGCCGCGTGCGTTTGATTTTTGCCATATGTTGTTGCACTGGCTTCTCGTAAATTGATGAGTTTGGGCCTTCGGGTGCGCGCGCGTAGCTTTATTTGACAGGGACGAGAGGGTGAGGCCGAAACCAGCTTGGTTTGGATGATACGATAACCGATTGAGAATCAATGGTTTGGATTAAACCATATGAAACCTCCAAATCCCTGCGGGCCCTAATAAATTTGGGGATGGGGGGAGGGGGGCCGGGGGGGTAGATCCGATTTTGTTTGGAAGAACAGAGTATGTGTTGAGCGCATTTCACAATTCGCATTGCCGAACTTGCAGTTGCGAGCTGCATTGTTCGGGCAATCGCACCGCCCGCCCGCCCGCATGTTGGTTTGCACAACCCTCGCGGCGGCGATTGCGATGACTCCTCGGCGCTGGCTGGCGCATCCTTGCGGCTGGACTAGCGCGCGCAGGTTCGCGCGCAAAGTTGTCAATTAGTCTGACGCGACCGACGCGGCCGCTCTGGCGCTGACCGCTGGGGACATCCGGGCGCGTCTCGCAGGCCGCGCTGACGCGCGGGCATTTCAAGGGGAGTCGGTGGCTCTGGCGGGCGCAGTGTCACGGTGACGTCGACAGCGGTGGACACAATGATGATAGTAACGATTCTAGTGTCGATGGTGACGACGCCGGCGGCAAGGTCAATGACGGCGCCAATGCTGAACCCGACGGCGATGATGGATTCCTCGCGTCGGCGAAGAAGGTTTTGGGCGACAAATGGCCGACGCGCGCGGCCGACGCGCGCGAATGGCCCGCAAATTGTTTTTTGACAGGCATCGCGCCCCCCAGCACGCGCGCAAGGGCGGTCGAATGATCCCGACATGCGCGCGCGAGAGGTCCGTCTGGTCGAATGCGATGAACATGTTGCACAGCCAGTCGTTGCCATAAGAACCCGCAAGAGCGCGAGCACAGGCTTTTTCGAAACATACAGTTCTGGAGCATTTTTGTGACTGCGTGTTGCCAGGGCGCTCGATGCTGACATCTTCGCGAATTGTATGCATGTCGGCACGCGTGCGCGACAACGCGTGCGCGCACTCGCACGCGCTCGCGTTCAAAATATTCTTGCGACTGCACTCGCGCAGGAGCTGTCGAACCATGTCGACACGCGCGCGCGACAGGCACGCGTGGTCGCCTTTGATGACTTTTTGAAGAGAGCGCTCGCGCAACTCCAGTGTGAAACCGTCGGTTGTTGGGTATGCTGTCGGGGCAGTCGATGTTCAATGTCTTACGAAACCGAGGACGGTTGAAGGATTTTGGCATGCACGCGCAAAGACGCGCACGTGCGCACTTCGTCCCAAGATTTGCAAAGGACGCTTGCAATTACATGATTGTTGATCAACGATTGCGCGCGCAATGTTCCTGTTCAAAGGATGACGGGGGTGTCGATATGTGGAGCTTGGGATCATTCGAATTCATATGTCAGATGGACGAGTGCGCATCAACATATACGAAATTCAATGCGAAGAAGTGATGTGTTAAGTCTGGCGGGGGAGGGTGGGCAATCCCTTTTATCTCTTTAAGAGGCAATATTTGCTATGTGGTGCGATATTAGAGGCGCGATGTATGTGGCCCAACGAATTCAAATAAATCTGGAGATATCAATTCCAGTGTTCGCCCAATCATTCCACCCACCCACCCGCAACTTGGTTCGCGAAACTCATGACGCGGCGATTGCGATTAATGCTTGGCGTTGGCTGGTGCGTCTCTGCGGCCGCGCTTGCGCGCGCAGCGGCCAGCTAGAGCTAGTTTGGCGCGACCAGCGCGGCCGCGGTGGTGCTGACCGCTTGAGCGGTCCAGGTGATTTGCCCAGGTGATTTGCCAACTTGAGCGCGCCCAGGTGATTTGCCAACTTGAGCGGGCGCGGTATCATGGCAACACCGGTCGCGGTGGATAAGATGATGATCGTGGCGATGATGTTGAGGGTGTTTTCGATGACGACACCAAGGTCAATCACGTCGCCGATGGAATTCGCGCCCGCCGGTGACGATGACGGCGTTGTCGCGTCGGCGGAGTAAATTTTGGAAGGTGTGCGACATGCGCGCGCGGCCGACGCGCGCGAGTAGCCCGCGTGCTGTTATTTGACAGGTGCCGTGCTCCCCAAACACGCGCGCAAGGGCGTTCGAATGATTTCGGCACACGGTGAAATTGGCCTGTTCGGTCGAATGTTGCAATGCTAGTGCTGAAACACGCATGGCTCTTTAAAAAGAGCCCGCAACCGCGTGCAAAACCATGTTTTTTTATGTGTTGGGGACACTCGATGTGGAATTGCTCACGAAACTAAGAAGTTATTGGAGGACGCCGGCATGCGCGCGCGCTTGCACTTCGTTTTGTTTTTTGCAAGGGGTTTTCGCGACAATGTGCGCGCCAGGGCGTTCGAACGATTCCGACATGCGCGCGTGAAGAACGGTTGTTCGCAATTGATGAACATGTTGAAACATTGGGGGGTGTTCATATGATGTCGCAGAAACGCAAATGCATTTTGTGTTAAGCCCCCCTGGTGCGCAACCACTGTTTTTTATGCATTTCCGCGCCACTTGATGCGAATTCCTTGCGAAACCGACGGTTTGTGAAAGATTGCGGCATGCGCGCGCGACGGCGCGCAATTGGTCACTTCGTCGTATGTCTTGTATTTGTTTGAGGCTTGATGGTTTTATTAACGAGTGTGCGCGCGTATCTTTCTGCATAAGATGGGCGGGGGCGATCTGAGTCTGATTGGGGTGGTGCGAGTTCATGTCTAGCATGGACAGCGGGGCAGAATCATGTGCATACTGCAATGGGGAAAGGCGCTCCGTTAAATTTAATGGGGGGAGGTCGTGCTCAGCATTTCTTTTCGAAATCTGCGCAGTGCGAGATATGCAGCGCAGTCTACGCTGTGCAGTATTTGCCGTCGGCCAGGCCCAGACGACGGGCGGCAGCGAGGCGGCGACGGTGCTGCGACGGCGGCAACACAGCCGCCAGACCGCCACCCGGGCTCGGGCGCGACGGGTGGCGGCGGGGCGGCGACGGCGACGGCGACGA